TGTTAACTTAGGTCTGCTCTTAGGACTTGGTGTGCTCGCTGTCAATAGAGCTACGCATCGAGGCTCGTAAAGACTGGGATAGCAATCGTAAACACCAGAGGCGTAAATAGTACATAGATAAATGGTGAACGGGTGTCGAGGTGATCTTTCGATTGACTTTTGATCGAGCTTCTTTGTCACGGAATCTTCTCACAGGTACCTTTAAAATACTTTTTAGAAATAGAATTTATCTGCACCGATGAAGACATCACGATATCACATAGTCGACGTGCGGAATAATTTACTCGTGATTTTATTAACGACAAATTTCTAATTTATATTTTACAGGAAATTCTGAATTTAATCCTTCGTAACTATCGCTTTATAAAGAAAGTTCAGGTACCAATCAAGAGTTCAAAGCCCCACAGCTTCGAGCTTGAAAATACCGATTAATATTTCACGATATAGAGAGAATTTTAAATAGGAAGCATGACGTTGGTAATCAGATTTGTAAGATAGAGACTCGTAATATCTTCACACTGCATATTAACACGGGATGCACTTGCTTTTCTTTGATCTTTGTTTAGGTTCTACTATTTTCGCGAATATTTTGAGAGAAAAGATTTTTCTTTGTTTGGTTCTTGAATCTTTTCATTCGAACGTATTACCAAGTTTATTATGAAGAAGTGATCGGATTATTCGGAGACATTATGGCGTCGGAGATATGGTAAAGGTGGAATGACAACGAATGTAAAAGTTCTCTCGTTAAAAGTGTTTAAAGCTTCTGAGAAACTTCATTATTTATAATACTCCTTAGAAACTCGCCACATTTTCCAACCTTTCCATCGATTACCTCCACGAACATTCTCCGTTCTTTAGTTTCTAAATATCGGTTGATACCTCGACTATTCTTATATTTCTATAGAAACGTTATACGCCGTTCACGTGAACACCCGCGATCCATCGATCGTTTCTTAGAAACAAACAGAACTTCTTGTTAGAACTGCAAGTCTGTTGCTCGCGAAAGAATAAACTATTGTTAAAAATAACACGTTGATCCATGTATACTTATAGAAATTCGTTATTTCAGAAATATCGCTATTTCTGATTTCGCGAAATTTTAAATTCACGTGGATTCTCGGAATGTTATTGTTTCACTATTTCATAGTACCAACTTTTAAAGAATAATGCTAATTTTAATTTCACGTAATTTTAAATTTACGTGGACACTCGGAATTTTATTGTTTCACTATTTCATAGTATCGATTTTTAAAGAATAGTGTTAATTTTAATTTCGTGTCATTTTACATTCACGTGGACCCTCGGAATTTTATTGTTTCACTATTTCATAGTGCCTATTTTTAAAGAATAGTGTTAATTTTAAATTCACGTGGACTCTCAGAACTTCCTTATTTCGGAATACCAATTTTTAGAAAATATTGGTAATTTTGCTTCCATGTAATTTTAAATCTACGTAGATCCTTAGAATCTTCGCTATTATACTATTTCTCAGTGTCCCTATTTAAAAAATATTGCAAACTTCGTCTGCACAAAATTTTAATTCCACGTCGACTCCTAAAAATTTTCTATTTCTCTACTATGCATCGACGTCCCAAAAATATCGCCAAACTCTATCCCATACAACCTTAAATCTCAACTGATTTACATTGCCACTATATCGGAAATACCTCTACTTTCATTTCCATCTACTTCCATTTCCATCTACTTCCATTTCTTTTCATTTCCAGAATTTAATTTTAATTAATAATTGTCCCATCCAAAGATTTAGGAAACTTATCTCACTTCTAAACACGTATCTACTCTTCTATTAAAAAATTCCTGAAAATATTCCTATTTCAATCACGTATTCAACCTTTTTCTCATTCAAGAAACAGATTCCATGTTCGAGAGATTAAGGGTTGAAAAATTTCACACGCGATTAAAATGAACACTCCTGTCACTCTGCGAGTTAGATTATGCAGTTTCCCTCGATTAGACGAAATAAAATGACCAGATTTGGGGAAACGATCGATTCGGTCGTTGTCGAAGTATAATACAGAGGCAGGAACGATTTATGTGGATGATGTTTAACTTTGAAGTATGGCGGTAGGTAGGTGCGTTGAAAAATTGAATAGGAATGGCGAAATCGATGGCTGGCCGTGTTTATATCGAGTTTTTGCCAAAACCCTCGAATTCGAGGATAAATTACTCGCACGCGTACACGGAGCACTCTCTTCATTTCGATAAAATATTTCAGCGAATTTGTGCCGGAACACTCGAGTTATGCGAATGTGCTCGAAAATTTGGCAAATTTACCGAACTGCAGCTCGCGTGCTTCTCCCCTTCCATTATTGTGAAAATAGATCAAATTGTTTCAATCCTCATTTCGTCATTGTGTTCTCCTTTATCATTTTATGAATATTTTAATTTTCATAAACATTGATACAGTTCATTCGCAATATTCATATTCATAATAAAATATTCGCTAATGAGTTGTGTAAATGGAATTAATAATTTTTTCGTTGTTTTTCATTTCTCAGTTTTATTTTCTGTGATCTTGTAATTACTCTTTTGATGCTTTTAACTATTTTAATTATTTTTCAGTAATTTCACGATTTTTATTCTTCATGATATCTTACCTGTTTTTAAATTATTCTTATCTTAAAGCATCTTAACTATTTTAATTACTTCGTTTACATATTCCCATCGAAATAATTATTTCAGATAATTACCAGTATGCATTCTATCATTAAAAAAGACAGAACCAAATTTCTGTTAAATGAAATCGAATATAACATATTAATAATAAAAATATACACATAATCAATAATAATCGTGTGAAAAAAATATATAAAACAAAAAGAAGAAACATGCTACTATTAAGTATAGTATTCTGCAACATACTATCACAGAGTATATTATTTATCCTTGATATACTTAGAAATTTCTCCCAGGGGGTAGTATTTCTTCAGTACTCGTCTTATACATAAAAATAACAATTTCCAAGTATCCATCTTACGAAAAAGAAAAGAAAAATGGAACCTCCTACATTCTACCTCGCTATTAAATTATGCCACTTTATCTGTCTCGAATAATTCTTTTTAACCCCCTCTCATTCACCCCTTCGGATATGCAGCAGCGAGGGTCCAAAAATTCAGAAATTCCTCCAGAAGCCTGTCGCGATTTTCATTTTAATGAAGTCACACCGTGTTTTAATGGTCTCTGTTCCCCATTGATACCATTCCCTCCTCGATCTCGCAACCCCCGTGATGCAAATCGCGCGATTGTCGGGGGTGGCGGAGCGAATCGGTATCTCCGGCGGGCAATAACGTTCAAATCCAGTGATGCATGTGTGTACGAGGCTGCTGTAATAACGTCGTAATTTTTGCGATGAAAATACCCGGCAACGTGATAAATATAAATAAGGGTAGCGCCGCGATATCGCGTCGCGACGCGTAAGATTATCTTAAATTGAACAGCGCGTTTCGCACGCTGGCCAGTTTAATTACGGTTATAATCTCGTTTTGTCCCGTGGTTGTATGGCTGCACACTCTCATCGCGAATCGTTGTTACAACGAGTGTCTTCCCATACACGCGAGTCGTAGAAATTGCTATCTGGATTGTAACTGATATTTAATTCTCCGTGATGGGAATTTTGATTGGTTTTGGCGAAAAAGAAAATTCCGATGTTTTTCTTTCGTCTGTATTCTCGAATACAATTTGAAATTTTGCTGAACTCGATTTGGAAGATCGTGTTAATCCTTTGTCGCTAGTAATTTACAGCTTTTGTTTAAATACCGTGTCATATTAATTTTCTCTTCTAGATCTAGGTTTATTTGAAATTGTTACAATTCTTTGGTAGGTTAGTCGAATATGATACTGTAGATACGATTTTGGTAATGGTGTATATTTTTATTTAATAATAAATTGACAGAGATAGAGTATGTGAGTAACGATAAAGGTACGAATTATTCTAATTTATCACGTCGCTCAACCTACACTTCTGCAGCAACTATCCTATTATAATTCACATTTGTTAGCAACTCACGATTATTAGCAACAATAACTCTCGCAATTAACAATTCTTCTATCACAACTCTCCATTGACTTGGCAACTATATAATTGACAACTCTCAACTCGACAACCCCCTCATTCAGAACGTCCTCGTCCTTTTATATTCTTCTTTCCATCATGCACACATTTTACAATACCTCCCCCATGTCCAAATATGATCGTGCTAAGGGCCCGAAGCATAGCCCAGGGTTTTTCCGACTGACCTGGTCTTCGAACCCTGGGTAACTTTCGTAAAGCTTGCGATACTGATACTAATTTCACGTAGTAATTTTCTATTTTGTTATTGCGGATTAATTTAAAATCTTTATTTGACTTTTGCCTCGTTAACCCTTTGCACTCGGGGATTTTTTCGTTACCGAAAAATAGTCATTCGAAGATTTTCTGCCCTAAAGTCGACGATGTCTTTTGAGCAGTGAATAAGAAATCGTAGAATAATTAACACGTAGGATTATTTGATTTCGACATTCCACGCATTATTGGATAAATTAAAATTTGATACATTAATTAACATCGGTCTTTAGAATTCGATTAAATGGCGACTGATGGTCCCCTCTCGAGTGCAAAGGGTTAATTATCCTTTTCTTCGTCACGGAAAATTAAATATGAAGAATTAATTATCAAAAATGAGTAGCGAAATAATTGTTCAAATTACCATGTTTTTACATAGAGTAATCTCGGAGATATTTCTAGTTAAAAATATTTCGTTGACCACCAAAGTTTTTCCATTTTGACTTTCTATAACAGGCTTCGTAGATTTACGCTTTTGCTTGAATTTTTAAGCCGCGTCACAAACACGGAAAGATGCAGCGCTTTAAAGCCATTCGCGCGTGTTTATTTAATTCTCTTTAAAAATTCCCGAAAACCGAGAAAGACAGGGAAAAAAGCAACCCGTCCGTTAATATAAAAGAAAATGGAAGTACAATTGATGGATTTGCTCTTGTCACAGGCAGTACTTATCGCTCTGGTGCTCGGCGGCATCATCCTCTTCACTGTGATCGGGAACATTCTGGTCTGCGTCGCCGTGTTCCTCGTTAAGAAGCTGCGAAGGCCGTGCAACTATCTGTTGGTTAGCCTGGCAGTTAGCGATCTCTGCGTCGCTCTCCTGGTAATGCCGATGGCGTTGCTCTACGAGATCTCCGGTAATTGGTCCTTCGGCAAAATTATGTGCGACCTTTGGGTTAGCTTCGACGTACTCAGTTGCACCGCCAGCATCCTCAATCTCTGCATGATCTCCGTGGACCGGTGAGTAGCCCCCGTGACCAGGTATTCCCTGCGAAATTGAGTTTTCCCAACGATCGTGTCACGCGAAACCGAATTACCCGGTCTAATTGAAAAATCAAATTTCGGATTGTCCTAATCGATCAGGTTACTCGAGCGTCTCTGCAAGCCTGCACGAGAGTGTTTCGTCCAATTTTCCATTATTTAAAATCAATTTCGACTAAGATGCTCGGAACTAGCCACGAGTTGATTGTCATTTAATAATAATTGCCTGGAATCAACCGAACGCTGAGAATCGATACGAATATTGCTTATTAATAATTCTGACTCATCTGAAATAATATTAACGAAATACTCTCATCCATGACGTTCATACGGTTTGTAGAAATAATTATAACGATACTACGGAGATAGAATGAAATTTAAACCGAGTTTCTGGGTTATTTTCATCTCTTTCCTTCATTTTCTATATTTTTTTTAATTTATTTATGAGAACATTCGAAGTCTCGAATATCGATAGTGGTTAAATATACTTCCATTTCGCTTGCGCGAATTTTTGGTGTATAATTTCAGAGCAGCGTGACAGCTAATGAAAAATTCGCAGACGGCTGACTTATTTCGATTTTTATCACTGGCTCCGATATTATTTATTTCATTTCCATCGCGAGCCGAGATCGATCGTGATTGTTCGTAAGTCGATATTAAAAGTCGAAGCGGAGTATTTTGCAGAATTTCTTAGCAATAAATGTACGCAATATCCAAGAGAGATATGCCACGGTTAAGATGGAACATTTATGAATCAAAGGCGGAAAATTGGTAGGGAATGAGAAAATAGTCTGGCAAATTTTCATTCCGTTTAAAGCATCTTGCGTCTTGCAGATGCTTTCCATAAAATTCTATCGTGTTTCCGATTCCATTGTTCTCCTAGTTACGACATAAAGGCAGGCATAACTCGGATTTATTCAATTATTCCCGTTCGCTCCTGGAATTCGAATAACTTCGCATAAATTTATTGTCACCATAGTTTTCCATTTTTATTCAACCGTGGAAGCTGTCCTAAAATTAAAACCGTCCCCCTACCCCCTCCATCGCGAGGAATATTCAAAACGTCGTAGTCGATTATTTCATTCGCGATATAATCGCATTCTGGACTTCCAATATCGTAAAGAGAATGCTCGAAAGTGGGACACCAGGGGTACCAGGGGTTCTTCGTGGCAGTTTCGAATATATTAATACCGCGAATGAAAAGCTCTTAACCGACTGAAAAATTTCAGCTTATATTTCTTCTAACAACACATCAATGTCGTACCCCGTCACTCGTTAATTTCTTCGTTCATCCCCTCGTGACAGATGGAGTACTCGAGTATCATTCCATTACGTCCCATTTTCAAAATTCATATTTCCTCTTGCTCGGGATGGCCACTGAAAAACTGAAGAGTTTAAAAAGTCATAACTTGTTCATATTCGATCATTTTTATTTCCTTTTTCTGCCAGCAGAGAAATGGTGGTCATTCGAGGGATGTTTTTCACGCGTATACTGTGAAAATGCATTTATTTCTAATTGATAAGAAGTTACTTTTATTTTATATCATCTGCTCTTTCAATGGCCACCCTGTACATCACTGCAAGTAGATCGTAATATTTTTTCTCTCTCGAGCAAGAAAAATTTCCCTTATAATGAGCTAACGCTTTTGCTGCTTGTCTCGTTGAACCTTCTTAAGAATTAATTTTAAAGAAACTCGAGTAAAAATCGAAGAGCCGTTATTTTCATTCTGGAGCTAAAAAAGTTTCCAATTTTTATTTTCTACTAAATTAGTAACTCATTTCAGTCGTTTTTTCTCTGTTCCAAGCTTTCTCTTTACCTTAGTCGTGCTTGATTTGAGAACTCGAGCTTTTCGTTCGTAATGCTGTAGAAATTATAATTGTATTGATCATTGATAAACGAGAATTCATTAAATTTACTATATTTTATTTTTAATTTAATTTACTATATTAAATTCTTATTATACGATAAGTGTATGGTATATCTCTAGAAATAGGAAATAATAGAGAATACGAAGGGAAATTTCTTTCACTGCAAAGAAAAAAATAATAGACCTATTCCATCGCGTGAATGATAGCAACGAAGACGAAGCGAAAGTAGTCCAGAGCTTTCGATTCCAGGTAGCACGTTGCAACGCAGGCTTTCATCGAACGCGAAATACAGAGAATAATCTAGCAACCCGGTGACATGTATTTTCTTTACGCTTTACGTACCGTGAGTCGACCTGCGAACTCGCGACTGAGACATGTCCGCTTCGAGGAAAGCACGCGAGGACTAGAGCACAGAAACGAGAACAGTCCCGGAACGGACAACGCAAACGGTTCTCGTTTCGTTTAATCAGAAGCACAGCGAGCTTCGTGTTCGGTTAATCAGCCAACGAAACATGAGTTTGCGTTGTTGTTACAGATTCTGCGCGATAACAAAGCCGCTGAAGTACGGGGTGAAGAGGACACCGCGACGAATGATCATCTACGTCAGCCTAGTTTGGTTGGCGGCGGCCTGCATCAGTCTGCCTCCCTTGTTGATCATGGGGAACGAGCATACTACCGAGACCGGCGCGACCACGTGTACCGTCTCCCAGAACTCCTACTATCAGATCTATGCCACGTTTGGAAGCTTCTACATACCACTCGTCGTTATGATTCAGGTGAGACATCGTTGAGTTTACGTAGACAACGTTACCGTAGGTATGAAGACATAAACTTGGACGTTGGAGATCGTTAGACTGGGAACTGGTGATCAGTAGACGTGGAACAAGTTAAACTTGGGTTTGAGAGATCTGCAGACTTCTTCTGTGTTTCATAGCAGAGTAGTACTATGCAGCTACGGTATATAGCTCAGGTAGCAGTACTCTAGGTCTGAAGACCTAAGCTTTAACATTAGAAATTATAAGACTTGGAATTGATGATCCTTCAGTGGACCTAGACCAAGTTAGGCTTGGGTTTGAGAGATCTGTAAACTTCTTTTGTATTTTATGGTCGAGTAGCACCGTGCAACTACTGTAAATAGCTCGAGTAGCATTACTCTAGGTCTGACAACCTAATCTTTAATGCTAGAAATTATCAGACTTGGAACTGGTGATCGTTCAGTGGACCTGGACCAAGTTAGACTTTGATTTGAGGTATATGTAGTCTTTTTCTGTATTTTTTGGTCTAGTAGTACAGATAGTTTGTGAGGTAGAATATCGTTAATTCTCTGTAGACCTAATGCTATTCTAATGACCTAAGCTTCAACGTTAGAAATTATTAGAAGACTTGGAATTGGTGATCGTTCAGTGGACGTGAACCAAGTTAGGCTTGGATTTGAGAAATCTGTAGACTTCATTTGTATTTTATGGTCAAGTAGCACCGTGCAAGTACTGTAAATAGCTCGAGTAGCATTACTCTAGGTCTGACAACCTAATCTTTAATGCTAGAAATTATCAGACTTGGAACTGGTGATCGTTCAGTGGACCTGGACCAAGTTAGACTTTGATTTGAGGTATATGTAGTCTTTTTCTGTATTTTTTGGTCTAGTAGTACAGATAGTTTGTGAGGTAGAATATCGTTAAGTCTCTGTAGACCTAGTGCTATTCTAGTGCTATTCTAATGACCTAAGCCTCAATGTTAGAAATTATCAGGAGACTTGGAATTGGTGATCGTTCAGTGGACGTGGACCAAGTTAGGCTTGGATTTGAGAAATCTGTAGACTTCTTTTATATTTTATGGTCGAGCAGCACTGTGCAACTACTGTATACAGCTCGAGTAGCATTACTCTAGGTCTGAAGACCTTAGCTTCAATGTTAGAAATTATGAGATTTGGGATTAGTGATCGTTCAGTAAACGTGGACCAAGTTAGACTTAATTAAGTTTCTAAATATTTTGATTCATGCATACGAATTATTTCTACGGTACAAATTCTTCTGCCATTTTTTCTTCTCTTTTTATTTTTTTATATATGTATATTTTCAATACCTCTTTCTTAAATTCAGAAATAAGCTTGCAAATTTTCCAAATTTTTCTTGATCTGTTACAGTGGGAAGAAGACTAGAGTTACAAGGGAGTAGCATTAATCGGAAACATAAAATGGCGATACTTAAACACAGAAGAGTGTAATTGGAGAAATTCCATGACCCTTAGACGAGGCACGAGGTGGCGTGAAATTCGAGTCAGTTGTAGGTTTTAAAGTGTTCTTAATTAGAAGTTTAGAATGGATCTACCGGAACTCGAGAACTGTTCTTAAATTCGGATTTAAAAGTGCTCCGGATTTCCGTGCTCCAGGCGATTGTAATTTCAATTATTCTTCGAGAAAACCGGAATGCCTGGCCGATATCGAGGAAATAATTTACAGGGAATTTAAATTATCCAACTTTTCCCGATCGCGTTTGCCGAATTAAGCTCTCCCGTGTTATCGCGTTTTTCTCGTAAAATATAACGAATAACTTAATAGTTAATCCCAATTATCAACATTGCGACTACCATTTAAATCAGTATGACCTATTCCCAGGTATTTCATTAAAATTCTGCAGAAATCTTGAATATTTTATTTTTGTAATTAATAAAAACAAATTAGAACTATCGCGTCAGTAAAAATGGCTAAAAATAAATTAAAAACTTCGAATCAAGATGACCGATTCTAAAATATAACAACGATCTTAAATATTTCATTTCTGCAATTATTGGGGACGAAAAATATGTATGAAAAGCTGTGATAGCTATTTTGACAAAATTACCTTCAGTATCATAGTAATTATTTTAATCGTTAATAATATTTTAATTATCTAAATACAGATATTAACGACGGTAATAATTATTATGTAATTAGGGAAATATCGACATCGTATTTACACGTAACAGACTAATGGTTCTAGCGTTAAGAAGCCTAATTACCATTTCGGGGTGGTATCTAAAGGTACTCCCGGTTCTATACGGGGTAATAAATCGTTCAGCTTTATTAAATTAATCGAGACGCCGACGGTGTACAGCGATTAGGGGGTCATCGGGATTTAATGATATATCGGCTGACAACGAACTTAGTTATCTCGATCTAACGAAGCTTGATTAATGTGTTAGAAAGTCTGTTGCCCTGCCGAGTGGATTGTCTATGGGGTATCGGGAGTGATGATTAGAATTTCTAACTTGCGACAACTCTGAATCGATGATGCTCATAAATCAACCACCCCGTGTTAGAAGCTGTTGAAACTTGTTCAACCGTAATAGCCTCTTCATCGATGGGAGGGAAAAGAAATTTATTCTAAATTTATTCCACTCGGCAAAAATAAATTTAACTTCCACAAGCTGTTCCCGAAAAAGTTGTTCATTTTGTCGGGTATTCTCTCTCAGACGAAATATAAAGATGTTCCATGTGAAAATTTCGTTCTGAAAATATAAGTTTTCCTTTAAGAAAACAGTGTTGACTTTCAAGCAATCTTGCAGTATATATTTCACTCGGCAAATGAAAAATAAATAATACAGTTGAAGCCTAGGAAACCTTTTTACCGATATTTTCTATTTGAGATATTTTAGGATGACACTTTCGAATAAATAATTCTGTATATGAAAAATTTCCTTTCTCTTCTGTTTTTTTAAAGAATTTTTACATTTAATTTAAAAAATATAGTCAGGTTTAATTCTTCAAAATTAATTTTATTTAAATTTCTTCTGTAAGTTTGACGTTCGAACTTTACTTTTTACTTATAATTGCAGGATTTTATAGCAATCGCGATAGATAATGTCATTTTTTAATTTATCAAACCAAAATTTTCTTCAGGCCTTTGCGCAGAATAAATGGAACATTTTGCATATTTAATTTGTAAAACGTCGAAGTCTTCGGTGGATATCGACGTCATTGCTATTTATTCCATTCATTTTCGACAATTTATCAGAAACAATTTGCTTGCACTGGATTTTCCATTGTGCCACGAATTACGCAATTATTCGACGTCATAAACTCGTAGGTCCCCCAGTTTTCTCGAGGTTCGATTCTTGACGACGATGTTTTTGTTCAAACTAATTGAAATTACCATCGACAGTGTTGCGTAACGATTATTCGCAATTGGGTCGGTTTCGTAATTAAACGCGTTAGAATTATTCGTTTCTTAATTACGGTCCCCGTTTAATTAACCGGTAGACGGTAAAGGTTGAAGTAATTGGTTTTCTTGGTTAGCCAAGGTCCATAATAGAATAATACTAAATCAACGAAACGAATAGGAATGACGAGCAAGCTCTTATTTCGTTGCTATTTTTAATCGTGAAATTTTTTTAAGAATTTTGTAATAAATATGAATTTCAATCCTGACTTATTACTCGTTGCGTTATTTAAATTTCTGTGCAATCAGTAGAATATTTTGTGGTGTTTAATATATTCCTTTCAAGAATTTTTCAATTTCGTATAGGAGTTAGTTAAATAATTACAAGTTTGCAACTGTTATTACTATAACGAAATTTCTGAGTAAAAATTAAAACAATTATTTATAAAAATAATTACAATATTTATTGCATAGCAAAGAAAGAATATCTTCCATAGCCATAAATTTGATTTAATAACAGGATAAAATAATACAATATATACACACGTAATACTCATGAATTAGCTAGAATGATACAAACTCGTGTCAACAAAGTCCTTGTAAAAATAATCCCCAACTATTCCAAACACGTAGATTCGTCATTCCTAAATCCTAAAAATTATGCATCTATACCTAACAATCATAGATCATCTAGAACGATAAAAGCTTCAGTCAACAAGCAAAATTCCAGGAAAAATAATCTCCATTCATTCGAAACACGTAGATGCACCATTTCTGAATCTACGAGCCCATAAATAATACACCTACACCTAACAATCATCGATCATGTAAAATAATAAATACTACGGTCAACAAAATCCACGTGAAAACACGCGCACTGTGCAATCTTCCGTGCCAAAAATATTTTATTATTTCACCCACTATTTTACTCAAAATTGACCAAAAGAGTCGAATTTTTCCATCGGAGAAATTTCCACGAAAACAACGTTCAACCCTATCGATCCTGCATCCCCCGCGACCCTTTACGCAGCTTGGAACCCAATGGGACAAACATCGTCGTTATTACCAAGCATCGGTAAATACATTACCACCCTCGCAAAACAGCCAGTCGAATTTGTGATAATCCACGTGGCAATTTTGATTTTTCATCGCGGAGAATTGACTTTCGACGTTACCAAAACTGATTGGACGCTTGGCGTGTGGCAAACAGAGTCCGTGGAAATAATTGGCGGGGAAACACAGTTGTAACGAGCATTGAAAATAAACGGTTGTGCACGCCTTCGTGGTCGCTGGTGCCGAGCGTTAACGCGAATTGACATAATAACAGTTAAATAATTACCAGACCGGGAAAGCGTCGCTGGTAGCCGCACGTGCCACGCTTTTATTGCCATTCGCCGGTTTAATTAATGCGATAAAATGTGGATGCCAGTGTTTGTCGCGGATGAAACGACGATTCTGTGACGAGGAGACTTGGATGAAAGAGGTCGAAATTGCAATGCGTTACTCGCATGATCGATTGTTCGAGGCTAATCGAGCGAGTCGTTAACGATTTTAAACTTGTCACTATGTTTGGCAACGTTTGTCAAGATTTTATAATCTCAAGTCATTTGGAAATTGTGTCACTGAAGTCTAATTTCCTATCTTTTATTTCGTGTACCCTATATGCTATTGCTTCGTCACAGGGTAACATACTTGGAACAGCTCATTAGGCTTAGATCTCTGAATAGTGATCAATAGTATAAAGATTGGACAGTGGTAATATTTATTGACGACGACAAATTGACAATAATATAAAAATTTGCGAATGACAATAGAGATACGAATTATTCCTAGATACGAGTCTATAATGACTCTCGACTTATTGGCAACGTTTGTCAAGATTTTATAATCTCGCGTGATTTGAAAATTGTATACCGTTTCACTGAAGTCTAATTTCCTATCTTTTATTTCGTGTACCCTATATGCTATTGCTTCGTCACAGGGTAACATACTTGGAACAGCTCATTAGGCTTAAATCTCTGAATAGTGATTAATAGTATAAATATTGGACAGTGGTAATATTTATTGATGAAGATAAATTGACAGTAATATAAAAATGTGCGAATGACAATAGAGATGTAAGAATGCTAGGGTTTGAGAGTGAATGCAAGGGAACACTTGGGCCTACCTAGCTGACGAGTGACCACGTGCAAGGATCGTATGAACGGGATATTTATGGCAGTATCGAACTTTTTTGCATAAAATTCATGACATTTTTGGTAATATAGCATAGACAGAATCGTATAAATGAACATACAATGCTTCCAATTTACTATCGACTAAGAATCTTCAGAAGAGTAGCCTAACTAGTGCCAAGAGGTCCATCTCGAAACCATTTCGTTCGATCTAGTTCCTGTATCGACTCGACATCGCAGATAATCGAATTATGACTGAGAAATGAACGAGAACAATTGATTCTGATTACAGGTGTACGTGAAGATATTCCTCGCTGCACGGAGGATAGTCTTGGAGGAGAAGCGGGCTCAGAGCCACCTGGAGGCTCACTGCTACCTTGACATAGAGCCGACGGTGCAGCAGCATCAACCGGCTGCTGTGAACCGTCAATTAAACTCGGACACGCAGCCAGGCCACGGAAGTCCACAGGTGAAGCAGCACCGAAGTTCCAGCGCCTCTACAACGGTCAGTATTACCTGAATAGTGCCTAGATAGCGGGCCTAGTTACCCCTAGTCTCATTGGCCGCTGACTAGTCAACTTGCTGTCAAAACTCTCGATGACGAATCACGATCTCTGATTTGCGCTTACTGTTACCGCGAATCTCATAACACATCCGTGACTAGGTCAGGGCTTATATTCGAACGGAACACGCCTCATGCTACGACTTCTAGGCTCATATTGCGCTGTTACCTGCACCGCGATTGACATCCCTTTGCTTGGAATTATTGTGCCTCTATTTTTATTTACTCCTCGAATTTTACTGAAAAGTTCCTCCGAATTGAATTTTGGAAGATAGGAATTAGGTGTTTTAGGGTAGGAAGGAGATGGCTGGCTATGTTTAACTTTACTACTCGCTGGCGAATTCTACTTCGCTCTTCGTTCGTTGCAATACTCTTCCGTTTCTCACACGATACTTCCCTCGTTTCTAATACCACATTGTTTACTACTCTGCTCTTCAATTCTTCGAATGATTCCTCACGAATGATAGAGGGGGTAAGGGGTTCGAAACATAGCGTTCGTGTACTCTCGGGCAAGGGCGCCCCCGTGACAGGTGTTTCCAAGCAAATAAAGTGGTTGTAGTAGGCACAGAGAGTATTGCCTGAGACAATAGAGCAAAGATTGACTCCGATACGCTCATAACAATATACTAAATGCTCTGCTCCTCGTTATATTTGTGGTCGCTCTGTGTTAGTTTCGCGAAAATCAGATGGACTCCTATTTTGTTTGAGACCCCGATTATCCGTAGCTATGTCTCCCTATTGATCACCAGAGCTAGCTTACTCTTATCTTACTCTTCTCTAGGTGCTAGAGAAGTGGAGTTTGTTTCATCTACAAAGTACATTGCAAATTTAAACATGTTTTCAAGGGAAAATTTTTCTTCTTGAGAAGGAGGAATTAAATTCTCATCAAAGGGTGAAGTTGGGTTCGTATGTAGGTAGTTCCTGACACTGTCAGTGCCAATTTCGAGGTATCTCCAATTTTTGTTTATATAGTTCCTTTGTAGAAAGTCGCGGTAATGGACAAACAAGGATAAAAATTTAATTAACGTAAACGATTAAATTCCTATTTGCATATAATTTACATGTAAATTTTTTAAGGTTCGTTCGCATGTAATTTACATACAATTTACATATCAACGTAAATAGTTGTATGCTTTCCAAGCTGCAAACCTTTAATGTTATTCAAACATTTCGCTTCGTAGTTGTTATCTGCCATTATGCTATCGTTCCACAAAGTATTTTAGAAGACGGTATTCATCTTTATGCGTAACTGTTCGTCATCGCAATACGTGTGAAGATTACACTAAAGTACTGGCAATTTCGTTGCACCTTAATGACAACTATTGTCACGACATTTTCACTGCTCGTTATATACTTGTGTCTGTAAATTAATTTAACAGATCATTCTTCCTAGTTACCAATTAATACTCTTAATTATTCCCAGCTGTAAATCATCTTACATTTCATTTACCTAAATTCAGGTTTTCTCGAAATTCGTTCATTTTCTTTTTTCTCTCGCACAGTCTTTCATACTTCGAGCTGAATTTTATATTTCTGAGTCGAAGAAAATGAAATTTCCCTTCGTTTATTTCCATCTTATCGGACACGAATAACACTCGCGAATCGAATGTACGTAAGGTAATGATAATGTAATGAGTTCCACGAAGTCGGGCGATTAAAATTCAGTCAAGGCTGAGTATTACAAATTGTGCTCGAACTTTCTTGCCCCCGTCTCATGCATATAACTCTGTGTTATATCACAGATAAACGGTAACTACTTCAACATAAGATCATATCAACCAAACGACTACGACGTTGCGCAAACTTCACCGGGAGCACAAATTTTCTATAATAACAAGAAATACCTGAAGTGTCCCTAGAATTATTAATACTTTATGGAACGAAATTTTGCATTACAGTTCTTCCAAGTCTCTTTTTTTTTTTTTAATTGGAGTCAAAGGTAATTCTCGTTTACAATTTTCAATTTGCCTCGTGATGAAAATTGAAGGAAAGGTTGCTTTTACATTTCCGTAATTTTGAAATGAAACGAACGGAGGGATGTAAATAAGAGGAAAATATTTAGGTATCAAAATTTTGTTAAACCAAGCAATATTTGGCTGGATCGTGATTCTTGTGTAAACGAGGACTTTCATATTCGAGAATAGGAGTGGTGGAAATTCTAGAATATTATATTTCAAGAGTGACGTCAGCAAACGTTTAATCTTCTTACACCGCGTGAGCTATCATCAATTTCAAAAGGATTTCGTCATGGTGTACGAAGAAACTTGTCAGGGATCGTTAGAATTATAGCCAACACTGGTAGATATTCCTCGTGCATCTATTGTAATGTAAGGGTGGCGTAACATTTCTGAAAATGTTTTTGTATAGTGAATTTTGTATGGAGAAATTCAATAGTCACTTCTATCAAATAATTTTCTATCTTCTGTAATAATTTAGAGAGTTCTTTTTAGAAATTTTATTATGATTCCTTTTTTCTTAATTTTTTAAAGATGATTTAATTTTTGGAGATCTCATCCCCCTGTGATGGTTTGACAATTATTTGATTAATCATTTGTATGTTCTATAGTCATCTCTATTAGAGTTTCACAATTATTCGTAGCTCTTCTCGTAATTCATAATCACATCTGTTAATTCTTGTTAATTATTCAAAATCTTTCTTCAAGATTCCACATTCACCCTAAATTCATAGCAATTATTTACAACTGACATTGAACAATATAAATCATGCTAATATCTTCCTAACTTCAAAAACACCAAGTAAAAATCTTGTATCCACCAAAAATTATTATTGTTATCTCACAATATCATCTCCTCCCCATTCTCATTGAAGAATCTCCAAATTTGGAATAATCCTCCAAAATCGAAATTTAATTATTTTAATAAATTCTCCTCTTGTTAGTATTATTCCGAGTGTCCCAAAAAATGGCGAAAATATCCGAAACGAGTAGGATTACCACCTGACCCAGTGTGGCATCATAGACGTAATTGGAATAACGAAGTTACGCGACTGACAACTGCAAAATTATTTCCTGTATCGTCTCGAGACTGGAACCACGTGCACATACCGTGACAGGGCAGTTTCTAACAGATGGCTTTACAAGAAAAAAAGAAAAATCATCGACAGTCGTGTTAACAGCAGGAGGAAAATGAAAGCTTAGTCAGACGCGGACTTGTTAAAAATGTTGGCCATAGTGACACGAGGCAGACACGTCACGAACCCGAGGAAGAAGGTCGAGAAATGGGAACAGTTGATGGATGAGAGGATGAGTGATCGTTCCTTTGTGCTATTGATTTTTCTCTTCGTTATGAACATAATAACACTTGCGAGGACGATAATTCATCTTGCTACTTGGACAATTAATAATTCTAATTTTTGAAATTTTCTTCCTTCAGTCACGTGATAAATATTTGTATCGTTGTACTGATGATGCAGATATAAGAATATTTTCCTCTAGCAGATTAATTCCTGTATAATTTCTTTCGATTAATAGGCAGATTTAATTTTATTAATTTAGTAATAGGTTTGTTTTGAAAATGAAATTTATGAAAAATTCTTTGGATTTATAGGCAGGATTAATTAGATTAATTTAATAAATGGTTTCTATGGGAAATTTAATTTTTGAAGAATTTTTTCAGTGTATAGACAGATTTAATTTACTTAATTTAGTAAACGAAAGTTTGTTTGGGAATTCTAATTACTTGTCTGGCCCGTGACGTCTCATTCCACTTATCAATTACAGTGCGGTATTAAATCAGAACATTTATAATAAATCCAGCTATTTCGCTTATTTTTTACTTTTCACGTGAACCCGAAATTTTTAAATGATTCTATTCAATATCTTTTATTTTATAAAATCGCTGATAGTACTGCAAAATATTTAACAAAAGGAATTTAGTCTTCGCTGAATTGTCGTTGCGATGAAATTTCTTATTAAAATGTAAGTAATCCCAAGAAAGTCGATCCGAAAACTTTTGGATCAATGATAACTATAATCCATGAATTCGCTTTCGACGCAGATGCAGAGAGGATTTTTCCATGCCTGATTTTCAATTCCCCTTATGGGAATCTTCATCGCCCGTTCAACTGTTGGCTCGTAACGATACGAATCAGAAATAAAATACAATTGTACGGTTCGTAATGAAATCTTCATTGCTACTGCTCGACATACTGGATCGCTATCGTCGAGGATCTAAATGCCGGCTTCTTGCAAAATCATCGCTGGTCCCTCGCGTAAAAAGGTACATCCGACGATAGAAAAGAAAGGTGAACGAGATCTCGTAAAAAATTCTTGCCCCATACGATTTGTTCGATATTGGTGCTTTCTAACCTTACTTTTCGTATAAAATTTCTTCCCAATTTGTAATAAAAATTTCAAAATAACGGTTCCCAATTTTCTCGTGTACCTACAATTTAAAGGATAATTATTCAGGGGATTATTATTCTTCATTTCCCTTTTAGAAATTTTTATTCGATGATGAAGCTTTTAATAATTTTTCACAACTTCTCCACGCATAAATTTCTCCTCAACTAATGGCAATATTTAATTTTTGTGTTATTCGAAGGAGTATGATCGTTTATTTATATATTAAAAGCTTTTGGTTGGACAATTTAACTTTTTAGAATTTTCTCGTGCACACGGGGCAGTCATATTTATTTCTGAAGTTTCTGAAAATTCTCTAAAATTTCTTCACGACTAATATCGACACCATAATCTCGAAATATCTAAAATTGGAAGGATTATTATACATTCGTATGTTAGAAATATTTCATTCAAGGATTTAATTTTTCCCAATTTTCTTCTCCACGTAATGCAGCCATATTTGTCTTCTAAATTTTCCAAAATCTCTTCCGAATTTTCTCGCTACCCTGCAATTCTCTCAGACATCCTCGTGACTAATACAAATACTAAATTTTCGAAATTAACCACGTAATTGCCTCGTTT